TTCGCCGCGGATCATGATTTGTACGATAAATTTTTTTCAACAAATTGTTTCGCACGATAACGTTGAAATTTAAATTCAAGTAAAGCACTAAATAGCTATTTGTAGTTTCGATGCAGATTGTCAATCACCGCGCGATTCTGTCGTGAGACGAATCGCTCCGCGGCCATTAGCATATTCGTCTGTAATAAAAGAATCTGGGCGATATAGATAAATCGAAAACAGAACGACATGGAAATGAGATAATTCGACGGTGTATTCTGGTGGAATATCAAGCCAGTGTAACGGTGTTGGGGCGTCTAGCTCGGATTTAGCTAAATTATTCGGACTACGTTGTGTCTACGTGCGGTACTCGCTGCGCCAAGAGACCACTGACCAGAGGCCACATTAAGGTCAGCTTAAAGCAGGCCGTGAGACATTATGCTTAACACGCTGATAAATGGTAATGCGAACGACCAAAAAATATATTAAAAGATCGATCGATTGCACGCATTATTCTGTGCACACATGTTCTAATTTACGTATTCATGTTATATTTACTTTAAAACAATAGCAAATTGTAGTTGGTAAATTCTGTATGACGGGTGAAGGGCAACTTCAGTGAATAAAATGTTCATTGCTCACAGAATTAACTTCAATTCTAAATACTTATGTCTTATTAAAAGTATAACAATGAAATCGCTTTTTATCGTATGTGTATACATTTAACTTAAACTCTTAATTAATGAATATAAATAAAACTTTTTAAAGTGTCAGTTATCAACATAATATTTTACTGTCACAGAAAGTACATTAAAACCGCTACTTAAACCAGTAGATGTTTTTATTGCGATAAAGTATGCAGAATGCTTTAAAAAAACCCAGGCACTGTTATGTGGTGTGGTGGTCTAGATAGTTTTTATTAACATCATCTGACACAAAATTTCGCGAGTCAACGAACTCGCAAGAGGCTGTTCAAACGAAGCTAATATTTGTGCTCTTCCTACTTGCTTCCTTAACGGACGCGGTCGCCTTCTTATAAATTCCTTACGTGGAATTATTTAGCGTGACGTAAACTGTTATTGAGAATGAAGCAATTTAATTAAAAATTACACGAGATGTAATTGCGTCAAGTTATCGTGATTTAACGATTACAATGATCGCTCGACAAGCGTCTGAAATATGTTAAATACTGGAGCTTAGTATGCGGGTGAGCATCAGTTGCCGTTAATCGACCGCTACACTTGCACGACAATTATCGCCTAATAACGAGTGAGGGTGTTCGTGGCCGAATGTAATGGCGAGTCGCGCCGTGTCCACGACTCGTATGCTAATCACTTGTAATTTACGAGGCTCGATAATCGCGAGACGCGTACGTGCGGGCATTGTGCGAGCGCGGCGCGGGTGCGGGTGCGGTGCGGTGCGGGCGCGGTGCGGGATGTCTGCGCGTCGCCGCACGTCCACACGTCCACACGTCCGCCGCTTTACAATGCAACAACTCCCTAATCAATCATAGCACTAAATTATACACGACATCACACCTCTTACGACTGTTTTTTCTTATCCTTTTATTTTAACGTTCAATTCCAATGTAATAAAAATAAATTTCGTTATGTTCCAATTAAAGTACCCTTTTTCAATGTTCGAATAGTTAATTTTTTTTAATTATTTTACCGTTAAATTAACTTCGAGCTTTTCCTTTCGGAAGCTGTTCTAACGATATACGAGTATCTATATTATATGCTACATTTCAAACACAACGTGTTAAAGTCAGTGGTTGGAAGTGAGCTTGACAATTCAAAATGTGGGTCTATCTTTTGCGATCAGTGATATGAGACGTCTGAATGGCTGCATATCGCGGGCAGCATCGATGGCGGCACGTAGCACTGCCTCACGGGCGCGGCTGGAGCTTGCCTGCCTAGCATGACCTACCCATCTCGTCTCGCATCTAAACTTTGACCGTCTACCAAATCTCGTTTAAATTACATCTCTTATATTACTTATTATTTTAATATACAATTTAGCATTTGGAATTGTAACTTTACAGTATTTTAATACTTAGTGTTTCTATTTTTCTAAAGTATACATTAAAAAAATGTTTATTCCAAGTTTTTTGTTAATGGAAACATTGAAAACGGAAAGACCTTACCTACAATGCTTTTAAAATTAATGTGAGTTGTAAATAAGATTAATATATTATTGTTTATTCTAATTTATTGGCCTTATAACAATTTCGTACATTGTTATTATAATTAAAACAGTTTGGTTAATTAGGAAGTACACTTTTATTTATAGTTTATGTAAATGTAAAGAAAATTCTGCACCCAGTCTAGTTTAGTACTAGTACCTACTAGTTTAGACTTTAATTAACACAATTTTATAGTATTCATATGTAGTATTTACTCTGAGGTATAATCGATAGCATAATGGGAAGCAATGTGTCCATTAAATCATGTTCAAGAAATCGGTGTCAATGCTCGCTGCGGTTGCAGTGGTCCGAAATGATGTGTTGGGCAACAGGCAAGAGCGGCGGCGAGCGGGGCCGAGCACTCCGCCCTCCGCCCCCGCTCGCCCCCTCCGATACCTTCCCAATTTCCATCGCTCTTATTTTATTAAAACTCTTTGCTTTACGAGTGTTGTTACAGAGAGATGCTGCGATAACAACGATCTTTATAGTCCGAGCGCTATGAGATAATTGCGAAAGCGTTCATCTACATTGAACCTTTCTCGATTTTAAGCTTACTTTCCGTTACATCTTCAAAAAATCGTACGCACAGATCTTAAATGGACATCGTCCAAGTACAGTTACACGTGTAGCGAGTGAGAACGTCGGCCATCGATGCCGTGCTCCTCTTTCTTTCAAATTTCGGTTTATTTTAATCACATTAACAGTTACGTTCGACGCATACCACTGGAACGAATGGTACGCCAAATTACACCTGAGAAATAGGCTCCCATTGTGTAGGTACACTCAGAAAAACGGAGTCCCCCACTTGGATCGGATATTATGATTCGTTCACGCACCCAACCATAATATTATTCCGAGTTTCCGCGGAGCAAGAGAATAAAGTAGGCTTAACGTCATTTTGTATAAGGGAAATATTTAAATGTATACAAACTGCGGTAACAAAGAGATCAGAGTCACTTAAATGATATCTTAGTACACAATACGTAAGAAAAATAATACATTCTTTAATAAAACGTCACCAGATATCAAAGATAAATAAATACATAGGAGAGACGAGCAAGATTTCTCTGAGAGTACACACAAATCTTCACGTGTCGAACGCACATTTTGGATAAAGCAAATAAATAGACGTTAGAGAATTGTGTGCGCCCTCACCCTCCTCCCGCCATCGCCGAGGTGACTTGCGAGAGCGTCTAGACGGAGGGAACCTTCCTTATACATATATACCGACAGCAACAACAATACCTTTGATTTGAGCAATTTACCCCGCATCGATTACTCGCTAAAATTGGCAAGTCGAGTTACTAATGTAGCCGCAGTTAAAAAATATAGTCATAACACACCTTCTAAGCAACTTCAGAAATATAACAAATTAACGTTTCTTCGCATATTAAATATTCAGCTTTATAACAAAGAATTAGGCATCACGTAATATATTCGCAGTGATTAACATTCCAAATATTTCATAAGGCAGTAATTAACGCTTAAAAAAATCTTATTGCAGAAAAATGCAAATTTCATAAAATGGTAAACGGTTTTTATTTGCAATATTTAAGCACAATTACTTACATCATATTGACGGCACATAAATTCTAATTAGACTTATGTTAATTGTAAACTGGTCGTAACAAATAAAGCTCTGTAACTTTCAATACTTTATTCCACTTATCATTAGTATCGGAGGCTCACTTTATTAAGTGGCAATGTGTAACAATGCATATTATGTAACAACAATTGAACGAGTATCGAAAGACAACAGTTGGAGTGTGATATTAAGCATAAGGATATATATCCGGAGTTGTTAAAAACATCGCTTGCGGAGTGTAGAGCGCGAGATTTGCTGGGGCTGGGGTGCTCCCCCGCTCCCGCCCTGCGCAGTCCCCGCTGTGAGGAGTGCGCGTCCCCGATGCTGCTTGCCGCGACACATATTCCCGCTATCCCTCGTTTCCCTCCCGACTCCCGAGTCCCGCGATACATTTCTACCTCTATTCCGCCGCCCGAGAGCTTCTTTAGTTATTTTGTTACGAGTACCTTCACTTCATTTCATTCCACCCCTCCAATTAAGATTGCAAGAACTTTTCGCTTTTGAACTTCGAATGAAAACAAAATGTTTTCTGTTGCGAAGTTCAATTTAGCCTTAATAAGCTTACTTCGCGGCCGGATGTACTAAAGTGCTTCATTCAGACCAAGTTTTTTAATATTCGCTTTCTCGAGATTGAGAAGGAAGTTTTTGTTCTTAAATCGTATTGGGTGTAATAAACGTCTTGATTACTAAGTTTGGTTTAATTAGCTTTTAACATTTAGCTTTGAATGAAGTACTTTATTATTTTAAAGGAAGTATTGAAATACACGTGGTCCGTGTGTTGAGATGCACAATCTGTGAAGAACGTAGGCTAAAATCATACTCACACTTATATTATAAATGGAAAAATTTGGATGAATGGATGTTTGCTTCAGCATATCTCTTAAACGGCCTAGCGGATCTCGATGAAATTTGGCACATATGAAGACCATTCTGGAAGACACCATAGACTACGTGCTTTTAATTCGGACGTCGAAAAGCTTTTTTGAAAATACCTGTTGATTTAATCAGTTTTCGATGAAAATGAAGATAAAGATGTAATAGTTGTTGTGGTTGTTGCAGAGGCAGAGGCAGAGGGAGGCGATGGAGGCGAGGCGCGCGGCGGCGCTGCTGGCGCTGGCCGCCTGCGTCGCGTGCTCACAGGCAGGTCAGTACCACCATCCAGCCATACTGCCACCACACACCACACACCACACACCACACACCACAGACTACCACATACAGCCAATACTCACCGGATATTCTATCCATCTTTGTTTGAACGACGACTTTCTTGACATACAGCTATGTATATTACACAATAAATTCACACACTATATTGGAAGTATTATGGGAGCCATTTTTTGTAAGTATATAAGATAATATAGCTAGTTGTACATAATTACAATTAGTATGATTATGAATTGATTTTTTTGCGCGAAAAACGGTTATATTTAGTAGCTGTCAGATCTCAACTAATGCTCTGTAAAAAAGATGTTGCATCTAAAAAATTATGAATGTCAAGGTTATATTCGTTAAAAACTACAAAAGCATTTGAAAAATTGTATAAAGCATGTGTAGAAGAACAATGATATCATTGCTATTTTCTTTGCTATCAATTGTAATGATTTATGCACAATTTGTAGTAATTATAAAGCCATGTCGCTAAGTCCACTTCAGGAGTGTGAAACAAGCATAACAATACTATCAGTAATGTATTTAAATCGCGTGCGACGATCTTAAAATGATTGCAAATTAGAAGGCGAACAGTGTTCCGTTTGCTAACGTGATTGACTAAGCCAACGGAGTGAATGTAATTTGAATTTACTAACGAATTTAAAGATAACAAGTATCAAACAATCAGAAAAGCTGCCTTTCAATATTCTCGTAACTCGTTAAATCACAGTGTAGCTGGATCCAATATATTTCACGATTTATTTCACATTCGAGTGCAGCCTTTAGTCGATTATCGAACAGGTTTTTCGAGGGCGTTGATCTTTTAGCGATTAATTATGCACCAACGCCCGGTGCATCTAATTATTTTTTTCCGGGTAATTGAACAAAGGATGCGCTTGTATCCTGCCTCGTCGTGACATATGTAACTTGTGAAATGAGTTAATGGCGTCTCGGTAATGTATTATGACTATTTATGTGCGGTTATTGTATAAATATTTGCTCAGCCGAAATCGAATGTAACCGTTTTCGCGCTAGCCGTAGTGGCCGGAGCCGGGCCCGGTTTGTGCGATCTCTCTCCACCTAACAGTAAAGGTCGGCGCGCATTCTCTCGCGGTGCATGTTATTAGATAATGCTATTTCGGTTCGCGAAGATTTAATATACGTGGCACGGTTAGTTCGCAGAAATCGCATAGAACTAATGGCATACATAGGAAGTATATTCAAATGCGGCCGATGTTTAGGTGTACCGTGTGAACTTCATCGCGCATGGCGGCCACGGCCACATTCATTCATTGAAACCACGATCCATATTAATGCAGTACAAATTTTAAATTCACGCTGCCTCCTCATTTCGATCGCCTCGACCCATGTCTCTAGGCGCACGAATTCGCATTAAATAGTTTTTGTTCGTGCAGTTATTTTTAGAATAG